CAGTTGTGCATAGGGGAGCTGTTTTTCTGCGCAAAATTCGTACTCTTTCCTGTTGCTGCTATTGATGGGAAGCCTGAACAGTTTGTTTCAAAGCTTTCCTTTTCTCCTGAGCTCGTATATTTGCGTGGGAACTCATGGATCTGAGAAGTGGAGGAGGAGATGTATGAATCTGTGCTCCTCCCCTCAGCTACAACGCACCTCCTCCTGCAGTAGCTGCCTGGCTGTGCTCTTGCTGACTCTTGTCAGCCAGTCTCTTGTTGCTGGGAGTTTATTGAAGAGGATCAAACGTCTCACTAGGGCAGGTTACTTCCATAAATCATTAATCATGAGTGGACATGATGCAAAAGAGAAGGCCAAGCTGTGGAATTATAAGGTTATAAGGCCTATATGTTGAGTTAGCGTCATTCAAAAAGATTAGCAGTCTTATTTTTCCTCCCTGGAGCCCACTTGGCTTGTGTTCAGCCAGACTTGAAAGTATTTTCAGCTCGCAAGCTAGACTGAGGTGAATGCCCGCACCTTTCAAACAGCAAGTTTTATTGGCAGATCTTGAATGGCTCCAGTTCTGGGAGCTCATACCTGCTCATCTCGGGTCTGCCCATCAGCGCTGTTCCTTGTGCTTCTGCATGGAGGTCGGGTTGTCTTAGGTTATCGATACCTGTTAAGATGCCTCTGCTTGCTGTCTGTGCTTGAATAATTAACTGACTGCTACTTGCTCAAAGTAGAGTCTGCTCAGTAATGTTGATGAACTTGGTGTTGGGGGACAGACTAACTCTCTCTAACTCCATCTGACTCTTGGGAGAAGTTTTTTGCTGAGCGTTGAAAAACTGGACGTTTCTATTAGATGCATTCATACACAACTGAATGTTTGGTCACTGCTTCTCAAGCTCAGTCCCTTACTCTAAGGCTCTGGGTGGCACAACTCTAGATATTTGTAGAGGGCGTCTTAGAGGCTATTTTCTCTGCAAGATGTAAGGGATCTCACTTAAATCTATAAGTGCTTAAGCAGGAGAAAACAGAACTGGAATTACTTTCCTATTCTGCTTCATATTGCCTTGCATGTTGGAAGAGAGAGGTGAAGCAATATATTATAAGTTAGTGAGAAAACACTGGGTTACTATGACTGTTTGACTGTTTAAAAAAGAAAAAAGGCCTGAGTGAGCAAATAGGATCTCCAAACTGTCATACCGGGACTTCTTACTCTTATTTTTGACAGCAGCTGTAGGAGCAGAATATATTCTGCAATATTGATTGGAGCAATGTGAAATATGGACTTACAAGATGCACAGCTAATTTACAAAGTAAGGACCACCTTAAAAAAGGGGGAAAAATGCCCTAATGAAAGAATTTTGAAAGAAAATTTGCCCAGAATTAAAGCAATCTGTAGCATTTTGTGAGTAATTAGGGTTAAAGAACGAAATGCACTGCATCCCTCAGGGACAGAGGCAAACTTGGGTTTAAAGGAGGCGCAGCAAATATTCTGTACGTTAAAGAAAGGCAATTACTCTGGATCCAGTAGAAGAGAAAACAAGGGTTTGGCGAAGTCAGCTGCAGGAGAAGGGTGCGTGCGGTCAGTGTGAGCAAGGCTGGCGCTGTGGGTGCGCGGTGGTGGCGGGCGGCGCCGTCCCGGCAGCGCCGCAAATCTCCTCCAAAGGGACAGCTTCACCAGTCTTTAAATTAAGAAATAAAAAACAAAAAAGAGAGAGAGAAAAAGTGCAAAACATTTTTTTTAAAAATGTCAAAGCCCTGTGGCAGCCCAGAAGACGTGGTGAAGCAGCGGAGCAGAGATGGGAAGATGAGGAGGGAGGACGTGGATGATTCCCAACCTGAGGGGAAGAGGTTGAAGCTGGGGGATGAAGGAGGAAACACTGGGAAGGACAGAGCAGCAGCCCCAGAAGAAACGATGCCCAGTCTGGGCAGAGAAGAGCCAGTGCCTGAGGCAGCTGGTGAAGGCAAAAGTGTAAGTGAGGATGCTCAGCTCTGAGCTGGAAAGGGGGAAGGGACCGTGAGGTTTCCTTTGAAATTATTTGCCAGCCTAAAGTTGGTAACTGGGCGTCAAGTAGTGTAGGAGAAATGTGATCAAGCATCCCATCTCACTGGGACTGTTGCTGTTTGGTTTCATTTTCTGGCTAGATGCTTTTCAGTGTAGGAGTTTGTATTTTACTTTGGCTCTCACCATTCCCTGCTTGTAAAACATATGTGGTAGAGAAGTAATTTTTTTTTTTTATTTGAAAGAATATTAACTGCTAAAGCTTGTTTTCAGCTCCCTATTCCTATTTAGGGACAAGGTAACAGCTGGTATATTGAATTGGGCATTTGGGGTTGTTTATCGATCTGTGCATTCAGGCTTTCCGCTACATTCATTTGGTGGGATATGTTTTTACAGCCAGGGCTGGGGTAGACCTCCAATGAACAAGGAGAGGAGAGTGGGTAGCACTACGGGGAGATCTTGGTGAGACAGCAAATCTCATCTGCTGAGACGTCCCAAAAAAGAGAAAGCTGCTGAGTGGTTGTCTGTATAAATATATCTGTTATGAGATCTTCAGAGAAGGTTAACTTTTTTGGTATGTCTGACTGGTTATTTAGTTCAGCTGCTGTGCTTGTCAGCAGGTTTTTGATTCCCAACCAGCTGAAGCTTTTCTTCTTGCAATCAGACAAAGTAATTTTCTTCTTGCACACGTACTAGCTGCTTCCCTCAATTTAAAACAAACAAAATAAAAAAGCAACATCTTGTGTGTAGGTGTTTCCTGCTTAAGTCTTGGTCGTAAAGTGGGAGTATAGCTTTAGAGTTCACTTGAAGTTTGGTTTATAGTTATTTAGAAGTTCTCTGAAATGTGTTTCTTCCCTTCTCCCTGCCCCCCTCCCAGCTTCCTGAGTTAAGATGTTCTTTCTCAACGAATGAAGAATCAACTGAATGTTTCACACTTGAGTAGAATTTATATTTTAAATACTCTGACAGGTAATTTACTAAGTTCGTCCTCGTGGAAGGTCATTTCTGTAAATGCAATAGTCTGCCTGATTCAGAAAAGTATTTAAAATATGTATGTATATAGAATGCCAGCTTATGCAAGCAAAAGTCTCTCCAACAGTCCATGTAGCTGCAAATAGGTACCTTTGGTACCAAGTCTGTTTTGCTCTTCTGATGTTTATAAAAGCATACTGTATATAACTGTGAGTTATCAGAGCATCATTTGTACTGGTCTGATAACAATTCTTAAGAGATGATTGATTCCCACCTCCAAAGATGTGCAATACATGGGCTCAGGTAATTGGTCAAATCAAAGTCTTTACTTTCAGAAAAACAGATTTAAAAACATGGAAGGCTTACAGATTCTTTCCATTTGATGATAAATATCCATATCTGAATACCACTATGGGTTGGAGTACAGCTCTTTTTGATAGTACATCTTGGTTATAATAATTAGGAAATATTGCAGAATAAGCTTTAATTGGACCAGTTTCTTTTGTCGTTTGGGGACAGACTATTAAAACAGAGACTATATTAGAATGGTGCTTATCCAAATAATTAGGCTCAGCCCCATCTGTGAGGCTCTGTTTAGTACCCTGCTAATTCTGTGGTGTTACAGGAAAGTTATGTGGAGATGAGTAGCTTTCCTATTTTGGTTCTCTCAGATGAGGACCCATGTATTTCTGCTCCAGTACTGTGTTCTGTTGACTTTTCCATAGGGGATGTGCTGAAAATACAAAGCAAATGTGGTTAAGTGAGCAACTGGTTAACTGTTTATTTTCCACTTAAAACTATTCCTTTAAAATTAAAGTAGGGGTTTGGTTCAAAACTCACCAAAGGTATCCTTTCCACTGACTCCAATAAACTCTTGCTCTGGATGTTGTGCTATGTTTTGCATGAAGTTCTAGTATTTTTCCCCTTGTTTAAAGCAGCCTGCCTGAGTCAGAGCCATTATTAGAAACAAATTGCCCAACATCACAAGGAGCATTGGAAATTCTGTTAACACAAACGTCTTTCTAAAAAAATGATAAAAAATTGTTTAACAATCACTGAAAGCATCTGTCACACTGCAGAGAATGAGCTGTTGGAAAAGAGGGACTCTGTGCCCTTAGGAAGCACTGGAATGACTTCAGTTCTATGTTGAGAAGAATCTCTAACTATTTTAATATTCTTAGCAGTATGGGTAATCAATGTCTGCATTGGAAGAACATTACCTGGTAGTTCCTGATGTCTTCTATTTTAAAGAAGTACGTTAAAAAAATTATAGGCTTTGACTCACTTTGGACTGCTAATAAAAATTCAGCACAATAAGGGGGCTATTTATTTATTCCACTGCTGTTTGTCTGAATCAGCAGCCATTCTTAGATTTAGGAGAAAAAACTACCCAGGTCATCAGCTCTAACTCATTACTCCACTTAGTATGAAATCCTGTATTATGAGAGAACACAGGCACCATCTATATTTTATGCTTGTGAAATGGTGCATAATACTTCTGGGCATTTATTTGGCGATATGTATTTGTAACAGTAGCTGCTGCTGTGCGGAAGTTGGTTGCAGAAGGACATTTCTGCCACTAGCTTCACTGGACAGAGATGTTTTGTGTTTTGCCATGGGAATCAAGGCTGCGTTTGCCAGCAATTAGTTTGCAGTGGTATCTGGAGGGATTCTCTCATTTACTACAAGTAGCTAGTTAATCTAGTATCCTGGGATAAAACGGTAATCATTAATTTAGGTAGCTATCGAAATCAGAGTTACTTCTTGCCTTCTCTTTGTATTACTTTGATGCTTCCCCAATGAGGAAACTACTGTTTTTTGACCTTGCAAAATCTAAGCCTCTCTTTTTTTAAATTTGTATATATAAGCATGCATATATATGTGTATTTCTTTCTGTTTTAGCATCTGAATAAAGTATTTGCTTCAAACCAAATGAAATGTAATATGTATGGTAAGAGTCAACTAAAAATTTCTTATTTGCTACAGTGGTGCAGAATGAGCAGCCAGAGGGGCTTTTAGCAAAAGGTAGAGTTAAAGTATTAGTCGGGATATTGGTAGAACTCGAGTCCATGTGATATAGATGCCCATATCAGTTATTTACATGGCATTATATGGTTGATCGTCACCTAGCCATGCTCCAGCACGTGCTGGAGATGATTAATATTGTATAAAATAGTTACTGAAATAGAAAACATGCAAAGAAAGTAAGCATGCACATAATATTTTTCCTAGACTGTTAGTTCCCTGACCAGCTTATATGAAATGTTCGATCCTTGAGTTATGGTGTATCAGTTTGACTATTAACCATTGGTACTTAAGTGATGTGATATTTCTCGGTCTTTCTCTAACCAACCTGTCAGGCCATATGGCCTGATGAAGACTGGATGTTGGTGCAAGGGTAAATCTGTATTCATAATGCCTGCTGCATTTCAAACCAAACGTTTCTCCCCCCAAACGTTTGTGCAAATTTAATAAAATGAGACACTTGTAGATTGAATTCCTGGGTTTGATTTGATTTCTTGAGTGTTCACCTAGTGTTCAGCAGTCTTAACTGTGTCCTCCCTTGCAATGTCACCAGTGCAAAGGTGTGTAGGAGAGAGCACTGAAATGCTTGAACTTTCATTCCTTCAGAAATTTTCAGAAGGAGCCAGTGCATTTGGGGATTAAAGGACTGTTTCAAACTCTTTATAAAAACTGCTTTGTGAAGACTTGGAAAGGAGGCAAGCAGAGAAGTACAGTGAAGAAAAACTGCAACTTTTCATAATTTGAGTCAAAAGCAATATTTTTACTGCAGTTTTGAGATTTTCATGTTGTAAAAGAAAATCTGAGAAAAGTGCATGTAAATCTGTTATTTACCACTTTTGTAGGAGGAAAAAATTGCTTTTCCTAAGCAACTCTAAAGAACTGCCTATACTAAATTGTAGCACATGACAAATATGGCCTTTTAAATCTCATATGTTACTATATATTTATTTTAAATACACTTTAGATGGGAAGATGAAGTATTCTATGTTAAGTCCTCCTGGCTGCATACAGAACAAATTTAACCCTGCCACATTACTTCAAAAAGTTCTGTGAGTTACACTCCTTTAACATGCATAATCTTTAAAAGCAGATACTTATTTGGCATGAACTTTCTGTTTGTTGAAATATGAGGAAAACTGTCTTTCATGTCGGATTAGGTTTTTAACATGCTTTCCCCACCCTCATCTCTGATTGCATGAGAAATTTGGAATGAAGATGCAGTCCAGTCCCAGTGGCCTTTTTTTCTCTTCTCCACAATGGGAAAATCATGCAATATCTAAAACCCGGATGTCTGGAGTGGTCCTACTGTGGGTAAGAGAAGCCTTGCCTTTTTTATAGTTCTCTAGCATCTGGCCGTTGCTCAGCGTTAAATTGGTAGCAGGCTCGTTTGATGAGAATGTTCTTCAGCTCTTACCTGGTGAGTGAGTATTCCCAAAGGGTAGAAAAATACGCCTTAGAAAGCCAGTCATTTAAGAAGCTGTTTCTCAGTAGGCAAGGAAGAGTTCTCTAATAGTTAAGATACCAGCTCGGAACCTAGAACACCTAATGTTCAATTCAAGATCAGTGTTTCTTCATGCAAGGGACCGGCCTGGATCAAATATCAAATTGCAAGCTACTTAAAGTCCAACTGAGGCTATAGGAGCTGAACTTGGATTCACTGCAGAAACTTTAGTTATGTGCCTTCAGCAGCCTGAGCATGATATTAATGCCATGCAGCACTTGAGGTAAATAGCAAAGATATAGTGAGGCACTAGGGTATGTGAATGATGTTAATCTAGACAAATGAAATGCACATTTATTATCTTTTATGTTTATCCCAGGTTATATGAAAAACTGTCCACAGCACTTGAGAAATAGTTTGCGGCCCAATAACTCAAGTCTCTTTCATGAAATATGTGCGTCAGCCTAGAGTCAAGTCTAAGGAATCAGTTTGAAGCTTGACAGTTTGTGACCTTTCTGTGCATTGCCAAGCA